TAGGTGTGAGAGACAACATTTTTATAACAAATAAATAAATAAATGAAAATTATATTTATTCAGGAAGACAATGAAATGAGATTTCAGACAATTAAGAAGGTATATCTTACATTTATGAGGAATTTACTAAAAGAACTACAATAACAATGTCATTAGCTTTTGTTTTGATTCCTATTTAATAACATTTTGAGCCACTGAGTTGTAGGGTTTCTAGGACTCCAACTAGGAAGTCACAGTGTTGGTCGTCATTTCATTGTAAAGCATCAAGTAAATAACTGACCACTTCACTTCATCTTTCACCCAGTCCTAGTATTAAAAAATAATGTATTGTATAGTGGCCACTGGAACGTCATTAGTAAAGTATGTATATATAGGAACATACTTCAAAAGTTCTTTTACTATCTTATACAGAGTTTTGGAGCCTTAGAGATACTATGCCTCAATAGAAGTATTGATCATAATAACCGATTCTTCATATGAGGATTAGGAATTTATTTGTTTATTTACCAGATATCTAAATCCTTATTTTACCAAAATATTTCATTTACAAACTTAAAAATATTCGTGAGCTGTATAAAAGGATTTTGGTTCATAGATCTGCAGTATTATATAAATCCACAAAATAAATAGCTTTACAAGTCTTCGACATTGATATTGACCTCAAAAGTTTTACTGGATACATCCCTGTCTGAAGGTGCTCAGTCAAACATTCTCTCACAATAAATAGTCAGCTTAAACTATATATATCGATCATTGTCTAAATATATATTCGTATCCCTTCATTCTCGACTTATGGTATCACTGGTTTTCGGGATCATTGTATGAGAAGAGTTGTAGGTCGTTTCCTGTCAGAATTAAATATGAAATCGACCGATGATTAAGTAGGAAGTACGAGTCAATTATATGTTTTATTCTGATAGGACATAACCAACAACCGAATAATGAAACTCTATAAACCAATAATTCAGTATTTCGGTCAACTAAGCTTTGTTTACTTGGATCGATGAGTAAGTTGTGGTGTCGTAGCATACGAATATTATTGATAGGTACTAATACGTCTGCAAAAACAAAGATCAGTCTGCGTAAATCCACGTTAAGGTAAACATACCTTCGGTTTTCTATTTGTCAAACATGGATTGAAGACATGGTATTGTAGAAGATCGTTAGATTTCGTGGGCGGAACGTTAACCTTTGAGCCAGTGTCAACGAAATAGAGAAACTTACTCAACATGTCAGTGATGTATAACGGATAGCTAATATTCACCGTCTATGGTTGCCATTAATGAGTATCAGAGATGGAGTTTCCCCAAATGTTTGTTTTAGCGGAAGACTTGAGGCTAGAGATGCTGCAAGGTTTTCTATGATTTCTGGAAAGCCCACCATAGGTTTTGTGGTACCAATACCGATCAAGGTTATCTGTCTCTTGCAGTCTAGATACAAACCTTTTGCACAATGGACTTTTTTGAAGAGTATTAGACCGTCTGCGTTCATTTTGAAGTTTCAGGAAACGGATAGAGGCATTACGGAGTTCTGCAATTTTCCTTTGAGTCAACTAGGGTTCCTCCTTGACAGAACAAACCTCGATACTATGGATTTCGATGGTCTCCAGAATTTAGTCGTCAGGTGAAGAGAGTTCATCAACAGCGTCATTTTGAAAGAAAAGCGGAACCGCCTGGACCTGTTAAAGAAGCTTACATAAAATGAGTTTTATGAATAGACCTTTGTCGAAATTTGACTGACCAGTGACCTCTCGTATTCATAACAGCATCTCTGTTGTCGAGCCGTACCTGAATTCGATATTGTGGAACAGTTCCTCTGACCTTTGTTGACCGGTTTAGTTTCCACATTTAAGGATGGTCTTTTCCAAAGTTTTGTAAGGTTCAGAAACTTCACTGGTAAACATACTAGGTGTAATGTACCTACTGAACCCATACAGTAGTGCCTTTACTACGGGAAGGGACTATGCATGCGGATAAAACAAAGACTGCCCGTGGAAGTTGGCTTCTACATAACAGAACCAGGATTCTATGTTGTCAGGATAGAATGGCATGAAAGTCTTAGCTCGTATAAGTTTAGGCGTGTTTAAACATAACAAAAATAAAATAGATAAATATGCAGAAAGAAAATTTGAGGACAAAAAAATATCATAATAAATATAAGGCTATGACAATGAACAAACTCATGGTATATCGTCTTGTATACCAGATCACATCGGGTGCACCAATGAAAATCTAATGGTATACAGTGCCTAACAACACTACCGTCCAAAATTTCATCTCATAAAGTAATCCCCAAACCCAGTAAAATCACATATCGAGGATGAAGAGATACGAATATATATTTAGACAATGATCGATATATATAGTTTAAGCTGACTATTTATTGTGAGAGAATGTTTGACTGAGCACCTTCAGACAGGGATGTATCCAGTAAAACTTTTGAGGTCAATATCAATGTCGAAGACTTGTAAAGCTATTTATTTTGTGGATTTGTATTTTACTGTGAATCATTTATAAGGACTGTTAATATTCAAAAAAGTTTTTAGCAAGTTTGATTTTTTTGTGAGAGATGATGAATAATAATGAGCACACAAATACGACTTTATTTACAATGATTAAGTAGAGTACGGTGATTTTATTCTAGAGTAAGAGTTTGAATGGAGCCTTTGTTACTTGTTGATTAAGAGAATTTTTTTTGTAATCAGATTCTCGTTTCTGATCGGTTGAAGCTAATAGATTAGCCTTTATCAGCATATGGAGATTTTAAGTAAATTTAGTGATTTCAAATTGACTTTGTTTTAATGCATTTCAATAATACTTCTTGAAGAGATCTAGAGTTGTGAATGAATAATTTGAAGTTGCCTTGATGGATGGGGAGTTTGTTCTCAGTCAAGAACGACACCACCAGATGAGATTGATTTGTTTCTAACCGAGTAATTCAATTTACGGTTGAAAATGAATTCAAAAATCTGTTCTTTCACATCACCAATTATCTTCAAGAACTGTCCTAGTTATTTAGAATGTAAAAAAGTTTTATATATTTTTCATTCATTGCAGCATTTAACTCCTTTATTAATATTCAACGATCTGAAACAATGAGTTCCAGGCTCGGTTTTCCTTATGATTATCAACACTAGAGTCCAAATAGATCCAACTGACAAATTCACAGTAGAATAGAAACAAGTAATGAAGTGATTCGTAAGTCACTATACAAATATAATCACAGTTTTATTACCAGATATCAACAATTACTGATCATATTATATTCTAATAAAAGATTATATACATTCTAGATAACTGATATTCACAAAACAAACAATAATTCATTTCTAGAATGGGTTTTGTGGAGAATTGGTAATATCAATAGTTGAAGTCATGAGTCAGTTGAAGCTAGACCACCATGGAAAACCTGGAAGCACTGGACGGCCGTTTCGTCCTAGTATGGGACTTCTCAGCAGTGGGCATCCACGATCCCGCCCCCCGCGGGATTCGAACCCAGGACCTATCAGTCTCGCGCCAGGCGCTTAACCAACTAGAACACTGAGCCGGCATCCAACGGTGTTAACATTCAACTTCATAGATTACAAAGTGAAATGTGTTCATTGAATTTTTAAGATCATCCCCATATGTCATTTTTATCAGTATAATCTCATCATTTATACAAGTGAAGTTTATTCGTAATTAAATTCTGACTAACACTAACGATTGAAATGTTACATAGATTATTGAATGATAAGTACTGATTATATATTAGAAAAGATAATTCTTTATTTTATTTATTTATTTGAACACATAGATATTGGTACAAGGAGGCACTACATACATATGCACCACACAAATCTCATTTGACTTGTGCGAGGTCTGTAATACTTCCCGGGTGCCCAGACCGAAGCAGATGGATTTCTTAAGGGGCCACACCCGGAGCCTTCGACCTGAAGGTCTGATCCACAAGGCAGTGGAGGAACGTCAAGAGATGCAGTCCCATGGTATCCAGCAGCCAACGATTGGTTCATACGCCATTTGTTCCCCCAGGGTACTGGAGCACATGTCCACCATTGGTTTGGAATTAGGGTTTTCCAACTCCCCTAGATGGACCCTCCATGTCCACCAACCCAGTTAAAGCACCAGACATCCGCTTTTCGTCCTCTCAACTTCGTGAACAACACCCGTGGTGCGAGAAGGCAGTGAGTAGGACTTCCTTGGCAGATGTTGTATACGTGTGGCCATGTGAGAGCATTTCGAGAGTGTGAGCCGACTCTCCCCACTCTCGGCCATACCAGAGCATTTGGGGGTATTTTTTTAAGAAGTTAGTTGTTTATAATAACGAATGATCTGTATTCTAGTCATAAATATGGTAGTAATATATTTTGTTGTTGAGATTACATATATTTTATAATTATGAAAGGTAATAAATAAATACTTACTTACACCTGTTACTCCTCATGGAGGCTCATAAACCGCCCACAAGCACTCTCAATTTAACTCTGTCTTGTAAAATCCTTCCCAGTTATCATTCATCCTTTTTATATCTGTTTATATTTCCCAACATATTATGTTCTTTAATAAATAGATAACAATAATCCAAACTCTATTAACAATTACTATCAACACTTTAGAAAAAAACATGATACATCAAAATTATTGATTTTAATATTCTATTATTTAATAGATGATGAGTAATAATAAGACATTAAAAAAATTATTATTAGCTACTTGTGTTATCTACTCCTCAGTTTATTGATTTCTTTCAAATAAATCATTAACAATAACCTGTTTTTTTGTGTGTATATATGATTTCAGTATATTGACTGTTTGACACGTGTATATTTAAATTATATTAATTGAATTACTATTAAATTGAGTAATAATCACTATTACTTTTGATCATCATAAATTTATCGATCTAACTGATTAGTAATCACTAGTCATAAATTATTCAATATAAACACTTTATATATTCATTTTATTTAGAAAAGATTAATAAGTTGATGTTATTAAAATATGGAAAAAAATAATACAATCAATTATTTTCCAATACATAATGAAAATATTAATGATAAACAGAATATTAATAAAGGTTCATCTCTTATTAAACAATTAAAAAAAAGTATTGAAAATATTCCAAAAACTACAAATAATATAAATCAAATAATTACTTATTATACACCAAATCGAAAACAATTAGATGATCTTCAAAAAGAATTAGAGAAACATACAAAAGCTGTACAAAATGAAACATATAAAAATCTTTATTTAAATGATGATCATTTTAAATGTTCAATATTCAAACAATTCATGTTAGAACAATCAAATAATTCTATTGATAAAAATACAATCATTAATATAAATAATCAAAATATAGAAAATAATTTAGAAAATTCTGAAATTTATTATTCAATTGTAAATGATCATTCTTTTTCATCTATTAAATTTAATTTTCCAGATCAAAATTATTCACAGAAATATGATATTGAAAATTGTATAATACCATCAAAAGGTAGACATTATAAAACAGAATTGTGTAAACGTTATTTAAATAGTTCTAATGGAGATTGTAGTTATGGAAATAAGTGTCAGTTTGCTCATGGAATTAATGAACTTAGATTTGCTCCACGTCATCCACGTTATAAAACGGAAATATGTTATAGTTATCATGTTTTTGGAGCATGTAACTATGGGAGGAGATGTGATTTTATTCATGATGAACCATTGGAAAAGTTGATTCTGATTCGACTACAGAATCAATTATTTCAAGCTTATCGAAAAAGTCATCCACATGTACAAGAGGTTCGTTTGATCGAGTTATTAGGATTAAAAGAGGATAATTGGGAGAGTTTAAAAGTATTATCATCAGCGTTATACGATGAAAAAACGTTTCATAGTAATGACGATAACTTTTCTATCATTACCAATAACGAACTCTAATATTTATGAAGGACTTTCCGTAATAGAGATAGATGTTTCATGGGTAGATTGTTATATTTGATTAACTAAATTTATCTTAAGTTTAATATGTGCAGTTTTTCTTGTTTTAACCATCATTTTCACAGAACACATTTTCATTTGTGTGGTAATATATTTAAAATTTATTTTCTAAGATTATGTACAATGCTTTTATTGAAATAATAATTTGGTATTTAATAATAAATTGATGTTACGCAATAACCATTAGTCTACTCTTATAAAAATGACTAGTATTATACAAATGAAATAGCGTTATAGATATAATCAGCTTAAATTTACCGTTCGTCACGGTATGCTTCTGCACAGGAAATTCGAAATATGTAGAAAGAGCTGGGAGGAGCCGAGTTAACAATGGACACTCTAGATCCATTTCGAGCACAAAGTCCAGTAAGTTTGGATATCATTAATTTAATCCAGAATATGTATTGGAGACTTGATAGGAGTAATCACATGAACTTAGTAGATGCGTTTGTTTTCATTTTAGTCTCCTAATATACTGTATACCTAGGTCACAAAAGTGAAATAGTTGGATATTTGCTTCATGTTATTTCAACTTACTACAAAAGATAGTTAAGTTAAGCTTTACTTGTAACTAATTTTATTACGGTCTGACTTCATCGAGGGCAGGCTGCTTTTAAACCAGTCTCAATCTAATGTTTCACGACCTCGAATTTGGTCGATACATAATACAGCGCTATTAGAACTATCTAGTGTCTCACAACTGATACAGATGAACTGCATCAATCTGTACTTTACACCGAAATGCCGGCAAGCTATCTTCATGTTAGTTACTACTGAATAATTGAGTTTATTTACTCACAAGCAGCGCCTTTTTGGAACAGCGAATTTTCTCTCAAGGATTTTATATGGTCACTTAATGCTTCATTTATAATTACTGGTTTCAAAAAGAACTGTTTCAATTATAAATCTTTGGCATTTACTGTACAATGGTTTACTCTAATAAGGACGAGTGAAGAAAGGTCAATTTAATAATAATAATGGTAATAGTAATAGTAACAATGATAAAATATTTATTCTGGTATTCGCTACAGCGTTTGATATAATATTACAGAAACCTATTGGATTCATTGACCATCACCAGATCCTTGTAAGTTTCCAAATAACGAAAGTAATAAAATAATGTTATTAATATATTAACTGACTGAATATAATAAATCAAGAGCGGCCATCAAAGCGGTGAATATCAATAAAACCATGGAAAGGAAAAATGACTAGCGGTTCGTTTTGAAATGAGTTATCGGATACGGAGTATAGATCCAAGAGATAGAAATATAAAGATATTAAACTAAATATTGATTAATTAATTGTAATGAGGGCGTGATTATATATTAAATAAATTAGTATCTATTTGTCTAAAAACAAATTATTTGGTTAGTTTAAAATGGCAAAGTTTTATATAAAGGTAACGAATCATGTTCCGGATCATATATTTTTACAGCTCATCGAAATGGAGATATAATGAGATAAAGATAACAAGGGTACTGAATTTTGTTAGCGAATAGTCACAACTTTAGAAAAGAACTGATTAATGACAAAAGACGTTAGGTGCGTTATGTCGTACAACAAAGTATAGAGTGCTTTGTTATACAAATTACGAAGCTATTACAAAACAAGTAGTGGGACATAATCATGTTCCAGGTAGAGCATTCGGTAGATCCTATAAAAGTAATTAATAAAATATAGGATTGGGAGACTTTATTAGCAGAAATAACACATCAAATTGTATCTAAGATATATGGAAGTTTATCATATACAATATTAGCTCAGCCTCCAGAAGCAACTCAAATGAAGCAGGCAGTTCGGAGTACGATATAATCATCGGGAGCTCTTATAACATCCAAGTTCATTGGATCTACATCTACCATTTAAATACAAGACGACCGTGAGTGGGAAGAAGTTCTTCCCACACTATAGTGGACCGGGTGAGAAGAAGTACTGATCTTTACCACAACTCGAAACCTAGGATGTTTGGTGTAGTGTCCTCGTCAGTATGCCAACGGAACATTCGTGTTCTTGCCGCCTTTATTTATTTAGGTCCACATAATCCATGGCTACCATGGGACTGCATCTCCTTACGATGCTCCACTGCCTTGTGGATCAGACCTTCAGGTCGAAGACCCGAAGTGTGGCCCAAGAAAACCACCTGCTTCGGTCTGGGCACCCGGGCAGTATCACAGGTCCCGCACAAGTCAAATGAGACCTGTATGGCACATATATATTTGGTGCCTCCTTGTACCAATATCTATGTGTTAAAATAAATAAATCCATTGTAGGAAATTCAATACGATTTAACCCTTAGTCTATATTTCTTATTATAGAAAAAAACAAGGGAATCCGTATATACGCATCTTCAACAAATTGAACGGTCCATCAGTAGTCGTGAGTGATTACGAATAATATGCATCATTAGCAGCCAATAAGTACCTTCGAAAATAGTACAACAAGGTTGCCTGTCCCATTTGAGCCAATATATATGTTGAAGACTATAACAATCAGCAAGCCTTCGACAACACTGTATAAGAAATAAAAATTTCGCTTTGTAGACCCATCGAGTGGTAGCATTAGGTTTATTACCGGTTGCAGATGTCGTATCTGCGTTTAACAATCAACCTAATTCGTAACTCTACGTAGATAGTGAAGAAGAAATCAAGGTATTAACAACTTATTTTGAAAATACCTGGATCGAGAGACCACTAAAACGCGAAGGCTGCGGAGTTTCAATTTCCGAATTGCACTATGGGAGGTCAACAGTTCTATTCGGGAAGATCTTCCAGAGACAAACAGTGGGATAGAAAGGTGACACAGGCTTTAACTAACATCCAATCAGTAATGCCCTACAGAAAGCAACAGAGGTCAAATGAATCGAAAGTCTAACAGTTCGTTTCAAAGACACGACATCACGTGAAAAAGTACTGGGAGGGAGCAGCATGTATTAGACTAGTTGTAGACGATTATGAAGGGACATATACAAGACTATTCTCGCGAAATATCACAATTTTAATTTACGCCTTGAGATATATATTTACATCTGAATTACGTCAAAAATCACTCTTGATTTACTTAGTTTATATGCTGGTCGGCAAACATCGTAACTAGTTGCAGTAACGTTTAGTTTCCTACTTCCTAAATCGTGAGTTTAGCGCTATTCCATGCTTTCCAGTTATCAACCTAATTTATTCTTCACTCATACTTAGCTCCCCATTGGATTTAATATTATTTCTTCCCATGCTTCTCATCTGGTTAGTCTCTTGCTGCACTAATTCGAGACAGGAAAACTTAAAATGATATACATTCATGCCAGGTCTCATATTGACTATGACTAATTTAAAGCCTTATCACACGTGTTTCTTTCTTTTTTAAAGGTACAGATATATTATGACTGAATTACCTGTTTTTGGTATGTTGAGTGAGTTGTAAACAACTTTTTTAAGGTAGATGTTGGGTTGTAATTACGTCCAAAAACCTCTAAATATCAAACAAATGGTCCAATATAGTAACCATGTTCAAGTTCATGTGCACAGATGTGATGTATATCATGCCAGAACTAGTGATAATAGTAGGTAACCCAAATCAAAGTGAACAAAAAGGAGTTTGAAACTACACCCAATACTCGAGAGTGAAGGTTTATATTCACCGCGCAATGCAATACCCATGTTATTTTTCACAAAATTAGTTACACGATTACAAGACGTTTACGAGAAGTCTAGTGTATATTATCATAACTGAGAGGAAAACAGGACTACAATGTCTCAAAATTATCAACATTAGTACAAGTAAATGATCTATTGAAGTTCACTCAAACATGAACCAAATCTTTCTGTCTCTTCCACTTTGAGTAGGATGATAATGAAAAGCGGTTTTTATCCTAGTCACCTAAGTTAACGAATGGACGTATTCCACAAAACAATCACTCCAAAAAATCTAGCTGTATTTGAAATAACTCTATACTTAAAAACATGTTTATGAAAATTTGTCTTCCTTAAAGATCATTTACATGATGTACTGCCATGAACCAAAAATAACTGGGAAGTCGTTTTGTCCTGGTTTGGAACTCTACATGAATGCTTTCCAGCGGTTCTATATCCGATGAAATCAACGTTGTGAAACGAAAAAACACCATCCAGCTACTGGGTAGAGATCCAATGACTTTAATTATTTGACTTTCTTCTTATAGGCACATAACACAATAATTATTCGATATCATCAGCCGGTACCCAACTTATTTCTATTCCGATTGACTTCAAGAAATACCACTTCAAACCGGAACTCTGATACAAAAATCACATAGTATATCACCATCTATCTAGGCAGTTCGCTTTTATCTACCGTTTAGCTTAACTACTAGGACTAATTAAGCTTATTCATTTTGTTTTTAATGGTGATTAACTTTAACACTCATCATTTAACCTAATTTTTTGGACAGACTATTTTTCATTACGCGTGAATTGATGCAAACTATCACGAAACAGGTGTTTGGTAAGAATGATCTTCAACTTCCGCCATTAGTTGCTGTATACAATAAGTCTACCTCATTACTATAATTCTTGTTATTTAGTCCCATAAAACCATTTCTATGTTCATCGTTAGTTCTGAAATATCAGTCCAGACATATAGAACTGAATTTTTAGAATGGAGTTTCGATTACCCCTAAGCAATATAACTTGTCCAGTTAAAAGAGATTTTATTTGCAAACACTGTAAATAGTGGGATGCCAAGAGTGTAGTTAGTGTAATAAAAGTGTATTACTCATGAGTAACTAAATTTTATTTATTGTATAATCTCTTTTCTTATATTTTATTGATCAGTAATAAACCAACTGTTTACTTGTTATTGATACATCTTTTGTCTGTCCGGACATGCTGAACTGTTTATTTTTGCAAGTTTCTGTGCTGAGCTGAGTAAATCTGTGGAGCTTATCACCCCGAATGAGAACTCTAACATAAGTTAATGATTATTTATTGTAGGACTATTTCTAATTTGCGTAAATTTATATATAAATGTTCCGAGCGACCAAAATGGTCTTTTGATTCTGAAAGACTTCGAATATATTATTCTGGGGAAGCTAACAGTAGAATTAAATTATTTGTATTATGTACCTAGAGAACGGCACAAATACTGGTGATTCAATAAAACCCCATTGTATCAACTGTGATTAGGTTGAAATAAAAAATTATCTCACAAAAATTTTGACGCCCGTGTAGCAAAAATCTTTTTGAGTTACAAAACGATGTTGGAATTAAAAGGCTGGTGATATTTTATAAAATAAATAGAAATTAATTTATCAGCTACTGTATTTCGAACTATGAATTTAACGCGGAATTGTGATAATGTGAACTATGAAGGCTAAAGTACAAACTGAGCCATTAAGGTTCTCAGTAAACTTCAAGCGAAGTAAATTTTACATAACCACTATACATAGAGGTACATACTCTATTCAATTCGAAAACCACAGTTATTTTTATAGAAAATAATTACATACCCTGATATCATTGTGCAAGATCAATGCTATGCTTACAAGGTAGTGATGAAAAATAACTAACGTTCATAAATTCACAAATAGTACTGTCAGTATAAGAAGACATCTATAAGTCGGTCAATTTTATTCCTGAGAAAACAACTCAATGAGTAAGGAATAATGCAACAATAAACAACTTTGTTTAGACTCCCCAAGACTTTATAACGATGAGTTTAAGTTTCAACATCGGTATTCAGTAGGAACACGGAATATAAATTAAACCACAAATAATAATCATAAAATTACTAATAAGTATGGTGTATCATGATAAAGACACAACAAACTTGTTGACAAATGAATTGATGTGAACAAGATAAACTAAGTGACTAACTCGATAAGATAAAAAACATACCAATATAATTCATGAATAGTATTTGATGAGACTGTGTAAAAACGGGAAATATCTGAAAGTTAAATAAGTAGTTATACAAATATTCTGAAAGTATATAAATCTTTATATTTAAAGCCGACTGACTAACATATTAACATGTGGATACAGAGAAAGTAAATTATTATCCACTGATAATGAAATGGATAAACTCGACTTCATTTTGTGTTTTGTTTTCCATAAGTGACGTAAACGTGCCCACAAACCAAGAGCCATGTAATCTATGCGCATATCAGATGAAAGGTCAGGTCTCATAAGAGGTTTCCACATTATGTATATTCGTCTATAATAAGAAAATACAAAAACACTGGAACGTTTTGTATACGTTACAAGCAAAACTGATATGTAAATAGGTTTACACAATTCACATGACATCACTGATTATCGAAACCAAATGATAAGAAAGAGAATGGAAGTATCATAAGCAAATATATTTTACGAGAACCACAGGATTAATGTTACAATAGCATTACATTTTGAACTTCATGGATTTTTATTCTCAATAAAAAACATAAATAAACTGTTAATATTTACATGAATTCTTCTTATATTGGTACAGCTTAATTCTAAAGATTCCCAAGGTACAAACTGATACTTGTATATTCTAAGAGAAGAATCAGTCTTTAATTATGCCACAACCCCCATTGGATGGAAATTTTACCGCCTAACTATCCACATAAAACTTAATTCGAAAGCATCTAGCACTATACGGCTGATATAGAAAATTAAGTGGTATATGAATTCAAACTTTTATCACCATTCGAATGAAAGTGGTATTTCATATTATATTGCTATCTTACGGCTAACACACAAGTAAAAAGTTTAGATACCGTAAGTGAACCAAAAAGAATTATATTTGACTCATGTATTCAGCAAGTACTGTAAAACATCAGTAAATTTACACATGACTTCACATTGATTTTGCTGAAGTAATCACTAAACAAGTAATGTTTAGGTGGTCAAGGGCGATAGGCACGAAACCTTGGATTATTTATTTATTTTATTTTAACACATAAGTATAGGTACACGGAGGCACCAAATACATATGCGCCACACAAATCTCAATTGATTTGTGTGAGGGCTGTGATACTGCCCGGGTGCCCGAACCGAAGCAGGTGGTTTTCTTAGGGGGCCACACCCCGAGCCTTCAACCTAAGGGTCTAGTCCACAAGGCAATGGAGCATCGTAAGGAGATGCAGTCCCATGGTAGCCGGTGACCAACGATTGGTTCATACGCCATTTGTTCCCGCAGGATACTGGAGCCCATGTGCACCATTGGTTTGGGGTCCGGTTAAAGCGCCAGACATTCGCTTTTCGTCCTCTCATTTTTGTAAACAACACCCCCGCCACGAGAAGGCAGTGAGTAGGACTCCCTGGCAGAGGCTATATACGCATGGCCATGTGAGAGCATTTCGAGAGGGAGAGCGGACTTTCCCCACTCCCGGCCGTACCAGGGCATTTGGGGGCCATCTTTATGGTTCGTTCAAAACAATTTTCTTTGACACAGCTGGAATAGAAGTAAGACAGTATGAGTAGCAAAACCAATAGTCCTTAAAAAAGCGTTGCGTGTAGAAATATATGAATTGTAATACTTGTCAGTGACTCTCTTGAGGTGTTTAGGTAAGCAATTTTCCTATGATAACTGTAAAACTAAATGAAATAAAAACACCAAAAATCCCTGACAAATCATTTACTACGTAGATCTGTTGTATCTATGACTGTAAAACCAAGTTTAATGAAAAGAAAAGAAAAACGGATTGTTACATCTATAAAGATAACGTCAAAAACTTGTAAATTTTTAATATCCATAGACAACATGGGGATCTTTTATTAGATAAAGTCGGATAAGGATAACAGGTGGATTGATAACACAAACGACCCACTTTGTAAGCAAATAAAGAGACAACATTTAACAAGACCAATTAGTCGGTGACCACCTTAATTTATTGCAAGCAATCATGATCAGGGGAGGAAGTGTTTCAAGACAGAGTTAGAGATCATACCAAGAAGCTAAAAATATGTGCTGGTGAGTACGTTCATAATAGTTAATAATTCAAAAGTAGCAGAAGCGTTGACACATCATTTTCACAATTTAATGGAATCAAGGTACCCAGATACCAGTTTATATAAATAAAATTGTGTTACCTCAATATTATAGCAGAATTTTTCAAGTATCCTCTCTGCATTAAACTTTGGGCAAACCATAGTTGGGACTTAGCTAGGAGTACAGGCGAGTTAATTTCTAACGCAAGGCTCATTTGAAAGAGTGAGACCGTCCCAGCCAAACTCGCCTACTTGAGTTAGGCAAAAATATTACTTTACCGCATAATCACTGTGATCTCCAAGTGAAGAATATCCACCGCCAAGTGTAGAAAGCCATGCCATGGATTCTTCGATTACAATTGCTTTTACCAGACGACTTATAACGACTTTCCACCTTGCACAGAATTATACAGAAAAGTAGCTTACATTGGGTTATCACATAATGTTCGTTCATACTGACATGGAAGGAATATAGCCGGTACGGTTTTGAGATGCCTGAGGTAGCGAAGTAAACAAGCAGCAAAAACCTGGTCCATCGAAGCATCGTACAAATACTGAAATTCCAGCAAGTTTAAAGGGAAAACATTTTTCACTATCCGATATGTATGGATGGAGCGTGGGTTCTGTATTTCTTGAATAGTCAAATCGTGTTTAATTGAGTCACAGTTTTCATAAGGACAGATACTACTTAGACCACGTAACTTACACTCTGAGAGATTTACAATGCGAATTGACGTGGCGTAACATACGATCGCAATCATGTGAACCTCAAGGCCAACTTCTTAATATCAAAACCAGCGCAGGTGAGTGTCAATGTACCTATATCTTTCAGATCCGGATTTGTGTAGTAAGGACAGAAGTCTTACGGCCTGTGTTATTCCATTTGTAGTATTTTTTGTGAGTGTCTATTCTTCTCTTGAATGACTCGATTAAAAGTGCGAACAACTCCGCTTCAGGTAACAGGTTTTAAGAACCGACGACTCGATGTGAAAACCTGTATGCTACATGTATTTTGTCCGTTCTTGACTGTCCTACTCACCTGCTATGTCCTCTGAGATGTCCCAATCTGGTGGGAAGGAAAAGAGGATTTATTACTTACAAAATCATTTTTTAGTATTCAGTACATCGAAATCAGATAACCTATTAATTTGTTTTAGGAGAGAGTAAAGAGGTCTAGTTTTTCCAACCGCTCTTTATATGATAAACTCTTAATTCCTGGAATTACCGGAGTAGCTGCCCTCTCTACGTTTTCCAGGGTATCTAAGTCATCATTCAAACAGAGGCTTGCAGCCTGAACGCAATTTTCAAGTCTAGTTCTCAGTAAGATTGTGTATACAGTAGTGAGCATGGCAGCACAAAACTTAGTGAATGTCCGTCTCAAATCCCATATGGTTGTTAACCTCTTAGTTGCAACCTCCCTGCAATGGGCAATGGTCTTATAATCATGACTCTGTAGTGTCTGTCATTATGTTAAGCCCAAATACCTTATTATTCCAACTTTCGGACAGCTCATTCTATTCATTCTATTTGAGTCACATTCTGACCTTGTTAATTATTCGCTTATCAATGTCTTGATTGTCTTTGTATGAGCGCGTAGGCGTATGCACACTTCTTATCCCGTTACTCATCACATGTCTGTAATTTATTTTTGTGGGCTTATAAATATTGATTAACTCTTTGTTAAAGGGAGAGTTGGCTTACCAGCCATCTCCACCGCTCGTCAATTTTGCTTCGCTTTCTTCTCTTCGCGTTGTTCCTCCGTTCGTTTGTCTAATCAACAATTATGCAAAATATATGCATTCAAAACTCCATTCTCGTTATTTGACTTATTTAATTCCGTTATTAACTAACGCGATTTAAGTCAATGATTATATACGAGGATAGACGATAGCAACCAATCATTATGATCAAATTGGAGTCAGATCACGGGCCACTAAAATGGTGATCTCGCCACCACAAGCTAACACAACAGGCTTCTAAAACTCACTGTCACCCTGAGATCGTTGTGAGACCGCACTTCGTGTACAGACACTTCCCCTGCGCTGTGTATATTTACTTTTTTGTCCCTAACGTGCATGTAGATACACTTCGCCGTGTTGATATGCATCAACCACTCTTTAAACCAGCTAATCACAATATTTATTTCTGCCTGATGTGCACATGCATCTGTGCTTCCTGTTATTTCCCATCAGGTTTTTACATCAGCATATAATAACATTAAGGGTTGAACTATAATTCGGAGATCATTTACATACAGTGGAAAAAGTTAAGTATCTAGGACAGAACCTTGAGGTACTCCACTACGTATTGGTCTTCATATGGAGCATCTCGAACTCATTCTAAGTTCTGTCTACGACCTACCAGGAAATCCTTAAGCCATTCTGAGAGAGGCTCATATTGTTCGCTGTCTAACAACTTTTTTGTTTCCATAAATGTCATTAAGTCAAACGTTTAAAAATTCTTTCGCTTAATGGGTTTGAATGTCTGGTTGCTAATGATCATCGTGGTGTTTATTTAGGAAAATCGGCCAACAAAACAAAGAGAAGTAAAGGAAGTTGTCAAATAATGCAAATAAGAAAAACACACTGCTATGCTCCCATAAGCCTTCAGATTCGAAATTAAATGAAGCAAAATAAGAATGTTGTAATATTTATATCAGTCATTAATCAATGTAAATGTACAAATATATGAGGAATATGTGCGCCGACACAACCCGTGTCTCTTAATTGAAATGTGCAAATCAGCTTGTAAGAACTGCAATCAAACATTCAAAGGGCTTATTTTTGTCACTGACCAAAAGTGCTGCCAAGAACTCCATATCGAATGACAGAATAAAGTGTGTCACGGACCATAAAGAACAGACAGGGTAAAAAAGTAACCATGGAAAATTACTTCGGGGCAGTCTCTACTCCGAATCCCCGTCTCGACATTGGAGTAGTTCCAGAAATAATGTCTCATTCCGACTGTTCATTGGGTACCTAAATTGCGACGAGATACTAAAACCATTAAGCCTCTTGGATACAGCATTAAGACAATTCATAGAAGAAGATTTTTCTTGTGATGATACCAATCCCATTGATTGTACTGGACACACCCAAGTTGAAGGCTCTCGGCTACGCATACACACCAGGTCACGAGTGAGTACGTCGTCACACGCATCCCTTGCAACTGCTAGCCAGTTCAGATCAAACGCTTCTCGACATATCAGAAGCTTCCCAAACATATCTCCGAACCCATTCATTTTTGATTCCCGGTTTGACCGGGTATGCAACCCTCGGTCATAAAGATGTTATGCGCAAAGATTTCAAATTCTGAATATCTGTCACATTTAAAGTTAAGTTAAAAATGCAATGGTTTATTAAAAGTTAAAAAGACAGTCACATATTATTGTAGTGGCATCGGATCATAACTACACAATCCTCAAAGCTGAACACGAGACTACTCGGAAAATAGATATTCAATATTTAACGCGGAGGAATACCCAACAATGGAGAAGGCGGGGATAACGAATTGAATAAAGGAGTTGGTCGGATGGCATGGCTCGGCCTTGTAGGCATGGTCCCAGCTGAATGTTATCTTGTATCTTTTATTCATATTAAATATATTCTATCTCTAGCCTAAGCTTGTTCTCTATCACGTATTGGTAATTGTTACAATTTAATGAGTTGGTGTAGACGATGAAGTAACTTCCACGTAAGATCTTATAGATTAGGTGACAACTCTCATGACAACTCTACAATTTATGAATTATGTCTATTATTAGAGCAGTACTAATAGCATAGTAGACCATAATTCTAAATTGGTGAGCCCGACTTAAGAAACGCAACCTCTAATTCTTCATCCATGTTTCCACTTTAACTTTTTCGATCGATATTTACTTATGTAAACCCATTATTCTAATAGTCCTCTAATTAATGCTCATATGTATTATCTTAACGCTATTTTGATTATTACTCATAACTTACTAGCTTAATCAATAATAAAAACTGATCATCTACATTAACTAAGTAGCTTTGATGGTTCGTTAACGAGCTTTAGTAGCATTTACATGCTTCAGCGAAATAAACTTGTTTTAACATCAAGCTCTAGCAAATATGACCTGTAAATAACCTAAATATACATTGGCTAACAATGCAATCAAGGACTAAATAGTTATCTGGATCTGACTCTTAGTGTTCCTTCACTTAACACATTTTGTTTTTAAACTATACACTATCCTGCAACACCTTTTCCTCCGACCACTGCCTGCCTAATTTCCAATTGCTGAGTTCCATGGCCAAACAGGATGCAAATGCCAGAAATTTACGGTGAGTTTGACCTACCGATTTCCTGCAATCTTAGGTCTCGTTTAGACTGTTCGTCAGGCAATGCTACATATTTGGCTCAAATTAATTTTGGACTTACACAAATCCAGTTTTCAATGCTGGGTTAATCCAAGAATTTAGTCGACAGTATCTCGTGTATAGTCCAGATTCGAATTACTGTTCAATTCAAATCATCATTACTTGGAAGCAAAAACAACCCAGGAGAGTTTTACTGTTTCCCTTTCCTGGTTCATTTATTATAATTAAAGTACTTCTTAACTTAGATTTTTTCTGTTGGACTGGTTTTGTATATTTCATACGAGCCACTCCCAGGACTAAGTAGAAATATTTAATACTTTTATACCACAACATTCTACTAAGAATACGTGCTGTTTAAATGCATTTCTTATTTTTAGTTCCCTTTGCACACATTTATAAATATCGCTAGGTTAACTACAGCGACGTCTTATGTAAAGTTTTTAACTCATCATATTCTTAACTGAAATTCCATAAGTCGTCTCGATTTAGAAAAATATTTTTCATTTTGTCCCTGTTTATAATTTTTAATTTGCCATATATCTCAAAAACCTGCATGTTAATCTGGCCCGTACATGCATTGCATTATATCTCTATGCCTCTTAAATTTAAAAATCGTCTGAATCGCCTTTAACACTTTCAATAAACCCGTCATAGACATTACTGCTATGCGTATTTGTGTTTACGAATTGGTCTAGTATATTAGTAACCTAAAAAGACGAACATATAAGGGATAATAAAGTCACCAAATCTAGGTATTATCATACTGCACTAACTTAATGACTAAATTCTCATGTTGTTCGACAAACAAATATTTAAAATTAAATCTCCGAAGCCTAGTATTAAAATTAGCATTATGTAGACGAATATATTTAAATTACCATTAGTAATATAAACAGGTAACTCGGATTCGTTCACGCTACGAATTTCTGATAATTTTGAATCACACAAAGCAACAGCATCTATTTTTCACTGGATTATCCTCAATCAACACTATAATTATTTTAACATAATGGTTTCAGGATATCGTCTTAAAGCATTGTCATGACTTGACAATGACGCAATATGATTGATAAAGTTGACGAAACTATTAACAAATCGGTTGGCAAATCGAATTATAATTATCATTAAGTAGTGTTGTTTTTCTTTTCATTCACTAAGGATGATTACAGTATGTTTATCAGTTGCTCACTCAGTAAATATCTCAAAACCTTGTCAGTCTAATTGGAGGTTTAGCGACACAATCATGCATGCAAATCATCAGTATAAGCAGTCGAGCAAATCTCCTGCAAACTGAAAACATAAATGTCGAATTTACCCCAACACTGACTAAGGTTCAAGCCATTATCATAGACATGAGTTGGGAGTATACTCCCCTTGGTTAAAACTTATGTTCTCCCTGGTAATCACATGAGCATCATTCACTGTTATTCATCCTGTAAAAACTTATTTAGACGAATACATCTTGCAGCAG